GCAGCTGCCCAAAAACAGTCAAAAATAACATAAAAATATACGCACCGTCCTCTATACACGCACATGTGTGGTGGCCCGTGTATTTGGCTGCCCACAAACAGAAATCACTCCGAAGTCTGCCGACAAATCCACTGGTCCACAGTGAGAGGGAGCATTGCCTCTCATGGTTACGAGTGGAACCAAACACCGCGATACTTTAATTTTATAAAGCCATTTCTAGTCCTTCCCGGTTCAGTCTGTTTTATGTCTATACTAGCATGCCTTCGGCTCGCTTCGCTCGCCTTGGCATACTACCCAAGCACTAAATTTGCTTTGTTCACCCGGGGCATTCGCACCGTGCGTCAGTTACGAACACACGAAACAGAATACGGAGCGAGACATGAAGAAAGTAGTGTATGTGCGTATGCGCTTCATTCCTTGCGTCTTATTCGTTATTCCCCTTTTTCAGCTGTTTGCATGGCAAAGGCTGCTAAAAAGAGGAATAACGAATAAAACGCAAGGCACGAAGCGTATATGCAAATACACTACTTTCTTAGTCTCTAGCTCCGTATTCTGTATTTTCGTGTTTTCGTATCTGACGCACGGTGCAAACGCCCCGGGCGAACAGTGCAATTTGAGTGCTTGGGTAGTTTCTTCCGATATTTCTATATTTTTCTACATATTGGACGGTTACTCGCTCGCTTTGCTCGCTCGTAACCTTACCCTTTAATATTAAAATGGAATTTACATTCGTAAGTCTAATTTTTCCGCATTGTTTCCAAAATTTTTCCTTTGCCGAATGAATTTTCATTCCCCAAAAGATATTGAATATGCACTGGTAGTGCAGTACTAAATCAATAACAGTAAAGGTACAAAAATCCCCCCCCCCCCCTGAGCAACGAATTTACCCCCTCAGTGATTTTACCCACTCCAATTTTTATTTTCGAGTTAAAATTATTCCGATTTGCTAAAGACGAATTTTTCAAAGAATTCTTTTAATTTGCTAGGGATTTTCGAGCCAGATTCAGTGAGATCGGGGGGGGGCCCCCCGCCAGGAATGACACCTTGAAAAGATTTAAAAGCTAATTTACACTGGATAGAATGGACTTTCAAAATTACCCCCCTTCAGATTTTCTCGAATTACCCTCCCCTTAAATTGCCAACTCCAGAATCTATGCGTATAAGTATTCAAAATATGTGAAGTGTGTGTTATACGGAAATGATAAAATCACCAGAAATGTACCTGTATGATACCACAATGACATGAAACTTTTTACAGGCTATTTTCTTTAAAAAAAAAAAAAAAAAAAAAAATAACATTCGAAGCAAAATTTCAATACAAATTGAAGGTACCTTCTATACAACGTATTGTACAAACCCCACTTTTTTGGTGACTTTTTCAAATATTGATTGTTTCTCAAAACTAACGTCAGATTCGGTTTTTCTCGTACCAAAAAAACCCCTTCACAAATTTCAAAACTTTGATTTACGTCTCTGGGAAAAGATTTATCTAGTTAAACAAAATTTTCGCATACCATACCCCCTATGGGTACATCATGGATACACCGATGAACGAATATCGCTCAAAAACAATACCAGCCTACTCCTTGCAATCCCAATCACCCTGTAAAGTCAGATGTGAATTTGCCTTTCTCTAAGAAGAATTATCGTGCTAAACAAAATGGTTAAAAAAAATTGCGTACAGTACACTTTCGGGAGGTTGCTGTTGGAATGATTAGTTTTTCATGATCGTTTATTTCGGCTTTAGTTTGCAATATTCGAGTCCAATTCAACAGCACCAAAATCGAACGATTTTCAGCGATTTTCGACGCTGGATGACCAATGTTAAAAGCAATGGTTGACAATGATGAACCGTGTTGAAACTGTGGTTGAATCCGCCGTAAAAACCATGGTAAATCATGTTTTGACACGTTTTACCATGATGGTCGACCTCAAAATCCATGGTAAACACACATGCGCACGGTTTTTTGATCAGGGGGGTCAAATTGACTTTGGTCTCGAGGGGGAAGGGGGTATTTATATGGAAAACTAAAATAAAAATTTTGCATGAGAGAAATATGTAGAAATGTGTGTTGGCGAGCGAAGCGAGTCGAAATTTTTCAAGTTTGACTTCAAAATCAGTGTATTTTTGCTATTGTTTATACATTTATATTGCAAATCTGAGAAAAAAATTCTCACATGGGGGTCAAACCGGAATAAATCTCTCCTCTTTAAAAAATTTGCCTCAGCTGGGGGTCAAACCGGAAACCCCCCAGCACGCATGTGTGATGGTAAATCATGTTTTAACAGTTTTTACCATGATGGCCAACCCCGTAAACCATGTTAAATCATGTTTTGACAGTTTTTACCATGTTAAATGGTTTTAGACTACGATGTACCATCATGTCCGACCTCAATAAACGTGTTATATGGTGTTATACCACGATGGACCGTGATGTCCAACCTTAATAACCATGTTAAATGATGTTAAAATCGCTTGAATCGTCAAAATTCTACATTTCAAACCAGTTGACACGGTTCATTATGGTCGGCCATCACGGTTACCACGGTTTACCACGGTCCATTCTCACCTTTTGACAATAAAATGTACAGTTGGGACTAATAACATCAGACTAGTAAGATAGTTATTAGTTAATAATTTCTAATAACTGGTAATAAGACGTCATCTTATTAGTGTAATAAGTATAGTAATAAGTATAGTAATAAGTATAGTTATTAGAATGTTACTAGTCAGAAGACTAATAAGATGCATGTATCTTATTAGTATAGTTATTAGTATAGTTTCTCACCAGTATATTTCGATTAGTGTTACTAGAAGCAAATAGTACTGAAACACGAAAAACAGCAGAAAGGTAGTCAAAATCACAAAAAAACTCCCGGTCGATTTTTCTGGCATATCCGATGGGAAATCGGCAAAAATAAGCAAATTTGTGTTCACTAAGTGAACACCATACAGCCAACTACTTTTTGGCCTAAAATCAAAATCCGGTGGAATTTGGCTGATTGGTGGACTTTTAGGATTTGGCCTGGTCCAATGTGCATTATTGGACAATCATTTTCAGCCGACTAAAAAAAACCTTGTGCCACCTTCTTGGTGTTAACATTCATTGTTGACAATTCAGCATTTATTCTTATTCAATCTCATTTACGTTTTCAATCTGATTCAGTTAACCTCAACAAAGGGTCAAACGGAACGGGGTGTGGCGTTTGATAAACATTTGGACTAGCCTTTGGAAAGGTATTGGAACGTAAAATAAAATGTTATCATCAAATTTGAGATCCATGGATTCTCACAATTTATTTTGGTGACATGGTTATGTTGAAAACTG